TCTGCTCTGTTTCTCCTGTTTTATTCTACTGAAGCCATACTGGCTAGTGTCTTTGTGTTCCTCAAATATAGAATATAGAAGGCATACTCCTGCTCTGAGGCCTTTGCACTTGCTATTCCTTTTGACTGGAATACATTTCCCCCAAATGTATGCTTGACTTACCCCTTAACTTCCTACAAGTTTTTGCTCATATGTTGCCTTTTCAGTGAGAACTTCCTTACTCACCCTATTTAAAATTTAAAACCCCGACTCCTGGTACTCTCTTCTCTGCTTAATTTCCTCAACATAGACTTTACTTATTATTATATGTCTAGCAAATTACCTGGCCTCTAGCAGATAGTCAGCAAACATTTGGCAATGAGAAAGAATGAATGGAATGAATGAACGAGCATCCATATCTTTAAGATATCCCAGTACCCGAAGGCCTTATGCCAGAAGGAGAAGATCCTAGTTGAGCTCTGGTCTCTCCTTCACCTAACCCCACTCCTTACCTTCTCAGGTTCAGGGCAATAGGTGCTTATTGCCAGCATGTTACAATATCCGGGCCACTGGTACACAATTCTGCAGGGTGCTAATTTTTGTTATTTAACATCCTGCTACTCACAAACAGAAGAGGTCAGGGATAGGTTAGACTAAATATACCACCTAACTACCTAAATATACTACCTAACCTAGATAATAGTACTGACTCAGTAACATTTGTGTTGAGGTGTTTTCCAAGGAACAGTGCTAAGTTTGCACTTGTTCATCTAGCTGTCTTTTTTTTTTTAACTTCTATTATGGATTTCAAACATACACAAAACTAGAAAGAAGAGTGTAACATGTCTCATGAACCTATTATCCAACTTCAACAATTGCCAACATTTTGCCAATTTGGTTTCCCCTATTCCCTGGTTGTCTTTGCAAACCCCAGTATTTCACCTGGCTGTTTTCTTGAGAACTGGTCTGTATATAACAGACCCTGGCCTTGTTACCACTGTATTGCAAGAATGGCAACCAATCTCTCTAGTCTTACCAGATATATAGTCAAAACAAATACTATGCCCATTCCCCCACTTAACAGACTGAAAAAGGAAGTGTCTAAATTCCAGTCTGTTTAAATCAAGGGACTTGCCCATTATTCGTCTGCAGGGATTTGCGGGGAGGGATTCTGGGTCTACAAAATGAACACAGACATGACCTGTTTTTACTTGTTTGCACCTGATACAGAATTTCTGAGGGAGTCCATTCAATTCAGTCAGTATTTACAGACCACCTCATAATATAAGGTATCAGAGCAAGATGATAGAAAACAGAGAAAACCCAGCCTCTGTGGGGCTGGGGAGTGGGTGAGTACCCAAATCATTAAGATATGCGGCAGAAGTTCTGTGACCTAAGAAAGATTAAGCAAGCCTAAGGCAAAAGCTTCTTTCACAAGTCAATTTGTAGGTAGACTCCAGGGTTTACCCTTTCCCTAAGTCTAGGTTTGCTGTTATTTATTGCTATATAGCCAACAAGAACATCACAGGAGACCTGGGAATTTAGTGACCCACAGAACAGACTTTGCGATGTGGATCTTTAATGTCACATTTTGCTATTCACCGTCCAGTGTTCTGGTGGGAGGGAACTGGAAAGTCCTCCCAGAACTTGGAAAACAAACAATGGGGCTAATTCAATGCCAGCAGAAGCTAACACCCAAAACATTCTACCCTGAGGGCATATACACCAAGCAGCTTCAAAAATCAAATGGGATTGTGGGAGTGTGTCAAGGAGACAATGTTAGATCAATTCTGGATTTCTAAGATCTCTCTCCTTGTTACCTAAAGGACTGTGATCTGGTGATCTATGATGAGAAGTTCCCAGAGAAGAGTGTAGTTCTTTGGACAAACCAAAGAAGCCAATGAGGTTTGGATGGACAGTGCGGTGTATGAATGTAGGAGAGCTGAGAGTGGCAGGGTCATTCATGTGGCCCTGGAGTTAGATGCACAGAAGAGTGGGAAAAAGGAGAATTGGGATGAGAGGGACGTTTGCATGATAATCAATGTTATCAAAATTGATGTGGTGAGGATGGCTGGGAAAAAAAATAAGAGGAAGGATGCTGAGAAGTACTGTGAGAAGTGGCAGGGATACAGGGAGGGGAAACGGAGCTCACTGATGACAAGGAGGAGGATGCCATGAGATCTGGGGATATGGGAGGCAGGATCTTATAGGATACTGTGCAGAATGTGAAGAGGGGTCTTAGAATAGGAGGGTGTAGAGGTTATGAAAGATAGGTTCATGTTAGGATGGAAGGGGCTCATTTCACTGAAGCTGGGGAAGTCACTAGGTAAAAGGGCTAAAGGCTCTGGGTAACAGGACATGGCTGAGGATGGTTGAAAGGAGGCAGCTAGAACACTGAAAAGTGACTGAAAATAGGAAATCATATGAGGAAAGATTACTGGGCCTCAGGGTTTTAGAGTATTTGAACTCCTGGTGGGGAAGAGACTTAGCAGGATGAGTCAGTTTGGGGAAAAGTGCCAGGGAGATGGTAGCCCCTTTAGGGCGAGCAAGATTGTGGAGTGAGGACTGTGACAGGCTATGTGGAGAAAAGACGAAGAAATGTATTAAGGTGCAGGGGTCTCAGGCAATGTGGGGCAGAAAGTCATGAACCATGGGTTGAGGAAGTCACTAAGCCATGGGGTGAAGGGTAACAGAAAGTTTGGGGGTCATGACACAGGTTGATGTTGGGCTTAAGAATCATTAGAAACTAAGGAACAAGGGGCTCTGGGTGATCTGGAAAACTCTGCCGGTCTGGGGGCAAGAGAGGCAGCGGACCAAGTGGGTTTGGAAGACTGTGGGCTCAAATACTCGCTCTGCTACTCATCTGTTTCAGGTTATTTATTTAAAACCAAACCAAACCAACAGAAATGTGAAATGGTGGTGGATACAGTAATAATCAACTCTTGGTGATTTACCCTTTTTGAAGGGTAAATTTAATTTTATACATACAGGCATGGCACACAGGAGGTGCTCGGCCAATCATAATTAAAGAGATATGAAGTAAAGAATCAGAGGAGGCCACAGCAGAAGTAAGAGATGGGGATTCCACGAGTTCAGTGGTGGTGGTGAAGTAATGTAACGTATGGGCCCTGTCTTCAATGTTGAATCCCTAGTTACCCAGGACAGAGTAAGAGCCATAAGAGCTTCTCAGCTTATATCTAAGGGTTTCCATGGGCCAGGCAGGGTGCCAAGTGCTTTGCATGCACCATCTCAGGCAAGATTATCATTTTCCCTTCGCAGAGGTGGAGGCTGAGGATTCAGACAGGCTAAATGCCATGCCTGAGGTGCCACAGCTGAAGAACCAGAGTCAGACTACAACCAAGGCCTCTCATCACATCAATGCTCCTAGCTGAAGCGCTCTGCTACCCTGCTTTGCGAACATGTTAACTGATGGGCCTGATCAAAGGAAATGGGAATGGACTATTCAAAGTGTAGGGTACGAGGTCATGAGAGTGAGGGAATAAGGTTCATGAAGCAAGTGGGCCCTAAGTGAGGTTACAAGAGTAAACTTCTAGGGAGGGTACAAAAATGATTGCAAACAAATATTATCTTGACTGGGAACTGCAGAATTTTACAGCTGGAAGGAAACTCTGAGATCACTTTACTCAACCTTATCAACAATACAGATGAGAAGCTGAGGCTCAGCGAAAAGGAAGCTGTCCTAGGTCTCCAAAGCACAACAGTGTCAGAGCTGGGACTTGAGTGTGGGATCACACACTCAATCCAGAGTTCTTTGATGCCTCCAACTACTACTACTACTACTTCATATTCATCTCTACATCTTCCTGAGTATCAGCACGGTGCTCGGGCACTTGTAAGTCATGTGCTGACTGATATTGAGGGGCTGAGGGTGCAGAGAGGGATGTCGGTGGGGGTAAATTTAGGGTGAAGGGGGAGCATGGAATGAAGATCATGAGGCTACAGGGGAAAAGAAGGGGTTATTAGATATTGAGGGTTCTGTAGAAGACGACTGGGTGGGAAATTATTGGAGTACGGCTTAAGAGTTACCGAGAAAGGTCTGAGGGGCGTCACCAAGTTTGTGGGTCAACACGGGGTAGGACCGTGGGAGTTACCGGACCAATGCGGTCACTGAAAAGGTTCGGGGGGTCACCTCGGAGGGGTGTGGGGGTCTCGGGTCTTGAGTCATTGGTTTAGAACTGAGGGAGTTACTGGGTTAGTGGATCCCAGGGCAGTGCTGGGGAAATTCCTGGATGGACAGAGTCAATGAATAAGAACTGAAGATTGCCTGGGCAGGTTTTAGGGTCAGTGGATGGTGTGTAGGGTCACAGAGGTGGAGGCGGGCGTGGGGTTTGGGAGCCTGGGTGGGGTTTAGAAGTCATGGGGGAGGCGTCCCAGGGCGGAAAGAAGGGGCAGGGATGAGGGCTGGGGGCCGGGGGCTGGGGCCCGGGGTGGGGGAGGGGTCGGGTCGCCGTCTAGCCGCCCCGACGCTGGGCTAGGGCCGGAGGAGGGTGGGCACACCGGGCTCGGGACCTTCCCGGGGCCCTGCGCCCGCCCGGCCTCCCCACCTGGGCACGGTGGACCCACTCTTCCCGCAGCCACCAACCTGACAGCCCCCGAGGGCGACTCCGCCGACAGACCGCCATGCACCGGGCCCCGCCACCAGCGCCGGCCCCGCAACCCGCCTGCGCCATAGCCCGCCCGCCCGCGCGCAGCTTGCCTCGCGCGATATCCAGGTTCCAGGGCCGCCGCACTTTCCTCTCCTCGCGGCGCGCCTCTACCGGGCCCCGGAACCCGTATAGGAAATACAGGGCACGCTCCACCCCGCACCCCCCGTCGCCGCCGCAGCCGTCCCGCTTATCCAGGTTCCCGGGCCCCTGGAGCCGGTGCGGCCGGGCTCTGAACCGTGCCCCTCGGAGCCCCGCCCCGCCCCCCGGCCGGGTGACGCACTGCCCGCGAGGCCGAGCGCCCGGGGAGGGCGTGATGACGTCACGACGCCCCGGTCAGGGCCTGGGCGCGGCTGGCGAGCCGGGTCGTCGCCATAGCAATGGGGAGCCGCCCCCTGTCCGGCCTAGGGACTCGGTCCACCTGAGGCCTGAGGCGGGAGCGGTGAGGAGCGGAGGCCGCGAGGGCCTGCGGGCGGGAAGGGCGCTCCAGGAGCCGGGGAGAACCGGAGGATTAGGTGGTGAGGGAAGCCATTCCCGGGGGTCTCACAGCCCGCCCTGGGGCTGCGGACCTTCTCGGGGTTCGGAGCCCCCGGGCTTCTGCTGAACCTAACCGCCCCGAAGCGCTTTACTGTGCGCGGCCCGCAGGCACTGCCTCCGATCTTGGAGCCAGCCCCCTCGAAGGAAGCGATTGCAGGTATTACCAGGCCCTTCTCGAAAGGGACGGCACCGAGGAGCCGCGAGGGACGTGCCTCTCCAGGGAGGGCGCCCTGACGGTCCTCGTGGGTTCTCTCACTCTCATTCCCCCTCAGCCCCACGCGCAGCCTTAAAACCAGCTGCTCCCCACGGGGCTTGCTTCGGGGTGAACCAAACCAAGCCCTTTTGCTATTAACCCCCCGCCAGGAGGGAAGGGCTGTGATGGGGGAATTTGCAGAAATCCAAGGGAACATTAAAAGGGAGCGAGAGATTTTTGGTAAAACGTTAAAAATAACTGAGAGGAGTTAGATAAGGAACTGGTCAAGGTTGCTTCTTAGGAGAGGAACTGGGTGCCTGGAGGAATGAGGTGAGAAACTTTTCCCTCTCTGTCCTTTAGACTTGAACTTTTTTTCCCCCTTGTATCCTCCCTCCCCTCACCCCAAAAAATTTAACTTAAAAAAAAAAAAGAATTTTCAAAGGAAGTATTCTGATGAAATCGAAACATTCGCAGGGCATCTGGGTGGCTCAGTGCTTGAGCATCTGCCTTTGGCCCGGGGTCGAGTCCCACGTCGGGCTCCCTGCATGGAGCCTGCTTCTCCCTCAGCCTGTGTCTCTGCCTCTCTCTGTGTCTCTCATGAAAAAAATAAAAACATTTTTTTTTTTAAAGAGAAACATTTAGGGATCCCTGGGTGGCGCAGCGGTTTAGCGCCTGCCTTTGGCCCAGGGCGCGATCCTGGAGACCCGGAATCGAATCCCACATCAGGCTCCCGGTGCATGGAGCCTGCTTCTCCCTCTGCCTATGTCTCTGCCTCTCTCTCTCTCTCTCTCTCTCTGACTATCATAAATAAATAAATAAAAATTTTTTTAAAAAATAAAGAGAAACATTTATAAAGTACTGGATTTGGGGCCTATGGTACCTAAAGATGCCATTGAGGGCACTGACAGCGTCTTTTTTCTCCTCCCCTGTCAGCAGAGCTTAACCAGAAAGCTTGCTTTCCGATTTTAGGCATCACCTCTTGCCTATCTTATTTGTTTTGACACAACCTTTCCAGAGGTGGGACTGGGGCCCGAGTTCTCATCGGATTCTTGGTTTCAGTGGGCAGTGAGTGACAATTGATGGCCCCTGCTTACAGTTAATAACAGAGCCTTTATGTACACACACACACACACCCCCCCCCCCCCCCCCCCCCCGGTATAGAAATAAACAGCCTGACTAGTGTGGTGCCCCCTTCTGTTCCTTTTTGGTCAAAGTTTGACAAGTCATTTTACATACCTACCGAGAGAATACAGAGAATACATAGCGTGTCCTACAGCATAAACTCTTGGTGAGAAATAGAGTAGGGAATGGAACTCAGGTTGTCCTACTTGTGTCCCTGTCCCCCCCCCGCACCTTTTTCCATAATAAAAAAATACATTTGCCCTTTCTCACATTCCGTGCAGATGCCAATCTAATTGGCTCCTGACCTCTCCTATTTACACAGTGAACAAAAACTGGGAAATCAGTGTGTGACTTTGTAGTAATAAGATTCTGACAGTGGGTAATTTCAGGTTCTCAGGAGAACTGGTGAGGAATATATTTTGGAGGGAAGGACTGGAGGTCATTCCAGACGGCTTATCTTCTGCCTTTGAGCCCCCATAGAGGCTAGTGGTCTTAACATGTGTTTTTTTTTTTTTTATGGACTCCATTGAATAATTTGAGATGATTGTGTACCCTCTTGTTCATTTAAAAGTTGGTATCTAAATTTTCCATCACATATTTAAGAACTTGTAGAAGATATGACTTCTGAGTTACTGTAGATTTTAACGTTTTAAACCAAAACCATACTGTAACTCTTAATTGTATCCAGCAGACTCCAAATACCCTAAATACTTGATGCCCACCATTATCTATTTAAAAATACATGAACAAGCTCTACTTTAGTAGAGACTTTATATGATTCCCTTTCTTCTTGAACTCCTAATTCCATTCACTTCCTCTACATAACTGTGTCCAAATTAGTGTATTTGTATGTTTTAAAGACTTTTATTGATCACATCACAGTTCTTTGCAACAAGAATGAGTGTAAATTTAAGTTTATTGCCTGTGACCATAGGCTTTAATTGTTAAAAAGTTTCTTCTGTATTGAATTGTCATTACAGTTATTACTGGTACACAATTTATTAAACAACATAAATAAATTACATATTGGTATAACATGTGAAACCTAGAAAGAACAGTTTTTATTGAAAATGCATCCCTTGGGGTCCCTGGCTGGCTCAGTCAGAAGAACATGTACTCTTGATCTTGGGGTCTTGAGTTTGAGTATAGAGATTACTTAAATGAATAATAAAGAAAGAAAGAAAGAAAGAAAGAAAGAAAGAAAGAAAGAAAGAAAGAAAGAAAGAAAGAAAATGCATCCCTTAAAAAAAAATGCATCCCTTAATGAGAAATACTGTGTTCCTCAATTGGTTCAGGTATTCATGGTATTAGGTATTCCTAATGGTAGAAGGAGATAAGGTACAGTATCCATTCTTTGGTTTTTATTTTTATAGACCTAAATATTGAGAAAGCTTGTTCATGTAGTAATTGAGAAAGGAAGAGATTTGTTACAGCAAAATTCCTGAAGTTTTGATCTACTCCTAAAATACATGCCAATAATTACAAAGCATCCTGTTACCAAATACTATTCTAAAGTACTATCAGATAGAGTCCTTTAATCTTATTAAAAGGAAAGAATTGGAAACTACTAAACTTGCAAAAGGATTTGTTATCTAGTCATTAGAGAATCAGTTTCAGTTTTATAAAAATTATTCTTAGTTACCTGTTACCTTGTTTCACTCAGAGGCAGCTTGTTAATCAGACTGATTTTCTTTTTTTAAGATTTTGTTTATTTATTTGAGAGGGAGAAAGAGCACAAGCAGGGGAGCAGCAGACGGAGAGAGAGAAGCAGGCAGTCTGCTGAGCAGAGAGCCCGATGTGGGCCTTGATCCCAGGACCCTAGGATTATGACCAGAGCCGAAGGCAGATGTTTAACCAACTGAGCCTCCCAGGTATCCCTGAAGACTAATTTTCATACTCTTTTACCAATACAGGTTTTTTTTTGATAAAATTATTTTATCATTACATGTTTTTATGATCTTTTTGTGAAAATACCGAAGTGCAGATTGACTTCAGTATGGAAAGCACCTGCCATTTTTGGAATTAACAAAGCCATTTTTCTTTCAAACCAATCAGCCAAATTAGACTTACTTTCTGTTAGGAAAAAGTCTGACTTCATTCTTCAATCCAAATAAATATGTTAATATTTGTTTTAAAGAATATTGTAAAAATCACTGGGAAAGAAATTATTAGCTATAGCTTATAAAATAGATTACTAAAAATCGGTCATGATTAAAATTATATAGAGTTGGGATGCCTGGGTGGCTCAGCGGTTGAGTGTCTGCCTTTAGCCCAGGGCGTGATCCTGGGGTCCTGGGATCAAGTCCCATGTCGGGCTCCCTGCATGGAGCCTGCTTTTCCTTCTGCCTGTGTCTCTGCCTCTCTCTGTGTGTCTCTCATGAATAAATAAAATCTTAAAAAAATTATATAGAGTTAATATTAACATTACAAAAACCTGTAAAAACAAGATAGTACTGTTTCTCATTATATAATTTGGAACAATGCCATATAATATGTAGTTAAATCCACTAGCTAATAACTGAGTAGTAGATTAGAAGGCATGTTATCCCTTGGCAAATATGGGTATGTGCTTGTGTTGAATTCTGATGTTTGGCTTTGGGGGACAAATAAGACTCATGTTTAAAAATCAGAAATAACTCCAAATAATTTTTTAGATTTCATGACAAACTTTTTCTTACTGTAAAAAAGTAAAAAAAAGTAAAAAAGTTCTTACTTTTTTTTTTTTTAAAGAAAGGATATTTGCTAGGAGATAATGGATTGAACAGCTAATAAAAAATTTAGTTCTCTAGTAGGAGGTAGAGAACAGTAAACATCTTCTAAGATGAAATAAGAGGACCAATTGTAATAGGAATATTTTTCTATGAGTGGAAAAAAACAACCCCTCCCTCCTATTCCCCAGGTTTTTATATCCTAGGCACGAAGATTCAGTGTAGGTGAGGGATATGCCTTTCTTTTGTAAAGTAGGATAAGGACTATGCTGAAAGAGGAGGTAGAATGGAGAGTGTTTAAGTATCCTGGCTGGTTCTCAAACAGATTCATTTGGGGAAAGATTTCTAATAGAAGCTGAGTATCTGGAAACTTATTTCCTTAAAATGCCCCTCAGATTGATTCCTTGCCCAGTACCTCTTGGGAGGTCTTCACATACCCTTGGAAAGAATTCCCTAGAAAGTTTTCATGTGCCCTGTTTTAAAAGACTTTGATATAGATAGAACTATACTCTACTGGCCTTGATTATACGTTAACCTGGGACATCCTCACAAATGTCCTAGGAAGAAGGTAGAAGACTTGGTGTTTGGAATAAAAAAGAGAGTGAAGGGATAAGTCAGAGGATGGCCCCAAGTTGATATAGTCATAATAGTCCTGTATCGGTCCTTGTTTGCAGTTCTAGAAATTTGATTTTTGTGGTCAAGTGTTCATGTTTTGTCACACTAAATCAAACTTACAGGAAGTTAATGTATAAAATCAAATGCAGTGAATTAATTTATACTCATAGTGACCAGGTAGACTGGATTTTCTCTCCTGTTGGAAAATATATATGGAAAGGTCAGTTGTAATCAGATTCTTCCCTTGAGGAGTATGGATCTTGAGCATGGCTATTGTTATCAAGCTATGACAGATAGCCTGATGCATGATGCGGGGCACGTTACAGTTCAGTAATTGTGAGGTGAATATGCCTGCCTATCCTTTATAGATGCTAAACAGGGAAATTCAGGGTTCTAGTAGGCCAACCCAACGTATTTTTTGATTAGGTAGATTTTGCCTTGTTTCTCTTAAGTTGCTATATCATATAGATATTAAATCCAATAAAATATCATGTCAGGGAATTATAGAATTGTAACAATTAAGTTTTATCTATCATCTCTGAGCCTAGAAATTGGGACTATTCATTTGTAAGAGATTGGAAATTGCATTCCTGCCCTGTAGTAGGAATGGTCTCAGTGGCTGAATGATATTTCAAAATTCTGTTGGGTGACCAAGAGTATACTGCATAAAAGGAACAAATTTGGGTGACTCTCAGTGCTGGCATTTGGTAGAATGGGACATCTTAATTAGGGAACCTGTGGCGTGACTAGATTTGGGGAACTGTACTAAATACCCTAAATTTCCCCTACTCCCTAGACCCTCCTTAAGGGATAATTCTTGATACTGCCTTTAAAAATAGACAAAGATGGGACACCTGGGTGGCTCAGTGGTTTAGTGCCTGCCTTCGGCCCAGGGTGTGATCCTGGAGTTCCAGGATCGAATCCCACATTGGGCTCCCTGCGTGGAGCCTGCTTCTCCCTCTGCCTGTGTCTCTGCCTCTCTCTCTGTGTCTCTAATGAATAAATAAATAGAATCTTTAAAAAAAAATAGACAAAGAGACAGGCCTTTTCAAATTCCAAAATCATTAGGAATAAGATGGATAAATGAAAAATATAAGTCCTGTATGGAAGCCAGAAGATACTTTGTTTCCTCAAAGCTATTTCAGCTCCAGGATAAACTACTGAGACAAAGGAAAAGATGTCAGGCCAAGGAGTTTCATTTAGTATTTTAATAATAATAATAAAAAAAGACAATACAAAATCCAAACATTCCTTTTTACAAGTTCAGATACATTTTTTCCCCAAGTGCAAAATACTCTATGAACTGCATCATTTACTGCTTATTGTTGATTGTGTAGGAGATGCTTACTATATTGGCAGCAGTGGAAGGCAGATATAAATACAACATTTTGAGATTTTTTTCTTCTGCATTAAAAAAAAGTCTCCCATGTAGAAATGATTATTCTCTGAAACTTCAGTTTAACTCACATAGAAGAATAAAGTTTTCAGTTTGTCCAAACTGCTAAAATGTGTTGTGTAGATAAGCTAATAACAGAACTAGGGGTTCTATTCTCCCTAATCATATATTTTCTTAAAGGGTTCCTAGTCCAAATAACGGCCCAAGGACAGGGTGTGCTATCTTTGAGACAGGTCAGATTTAAAGATATCCTTGTGTTGTTTGCTTCCACTTTTTTCTCTTACTGTGCTTTAGAAAGAAGCCAAGCAGGTTAACATTATTTTCTGCTTATGATCTGTTATGCTTTGTCTCCTTTCCCCTAGTTTGAGCCTGTTACATTGAGGTTAAGCAGCAAATACAAAAGTTTGAATACTCTGTTTTCTGACATTTTGAGATATGACCTACCAATCCACTACAAAGTCCCCTCAAACATACATAGGGAGAACACTTCTCAGATACAAAAAATTTCTTTAGAGCCAGAGACCAGGGCTGTATAACTGAACTTTCAGCATCAAGCCTGAGCCTCCATTACCTCAAACTAAACCAATCCTGGCTGGAGTTACTCAGAGCAGTCACAGCTCAATGTCTGCTTCTGGGAGTTTATAGGTCTGGGGCAGGACAGCTCAAGTCTGGGCTCTGGTCAGTTTTCTCCTGACTGAGAGTTTCCTTCCCATTCCTTCAGATTTAGGGAATGGACCTGGCCTAGTAATATAGAAAGAGGGAGGCAGAGAAGTAAAAAGGAATTGCCATGTTGCTGAATATTTAAGTGCCTTTCTGATGTGTACCACTTGGTGCTCAGAGTCCTTGCAGAAATGGCTTCCCATCCCCAGACTCAGATCAGGGCAGGTTTTATACTAAGATAAATGAGGCCTCACGGTCCTATGGCCCTGTAAACACACCTTCGGGCAGAGGCCTTGGGACTGGTTCATGAAGGGTTCCCATTCACACCATCTTCCTTCCCTATACTGGTAAAACCCTTTTTTCTGTCTGACCTGTAAAGGCCTAGAGAGTCCCTGAGTGTTGACTCATTCAGTCCACTCACCCCCTGGTTTGATGCCCCAGGACTGGCCTCCTCCATAGGTTGAGCAGCAGCTTTGCCTGGATTGCTAACCCCAACTTGCAGGACGACCTAAACTAAGCGTGATGGACATTAGCAGATCTTTACCTGCTCACCAAGATCTGTTTTGACATTAGTTAAGCCTAGTGGTCTATACATACTTTCCATACTGTGAAAATCATTTGCAGTTTCCAGAAACCATGAAATAAATTATTGGAGGAAGTATGTTTATGTGTATATGTATGGGGTGACAAGAAAGGAGAAGAGCAAGAAGCCAGACCCTGAGGCATAAAATTGAGAAGTACTCTCTTTAGCTAAGAGAGATGCAATGGCAGGGAGAGAATCAGAAAGTTACCCTAGCTTCTGGTGGAGAATTAGGATGGTCAGAGTTGCTTAAAGCAGTTTTCATGGCATTTCCTGGAAGTGTTGATACTTCTATTAAATGGCCATTTTCTTGTATGCAAGCAGCCATTTTTTTTGTCTTTATAGCAGAGCCCTCAGAGACTCAGAGAGACAAAAGAAGCCAGATACTCTGCTTCCAAGGGTCATGGTGTTGGCTAATGGAGTTCAGGGGAACTAGCTTTGACCTTGGCTACCTACTGCCTAAGGCCTACTGATTAGGGAGTGAGGGGATGGTGCAAGCCCCTTTGTTTAGTGTCGAGTCTCCTGGGGGAGCAAAAGCCTAGGTAATATTTTTTTTTTTTTAGTGATTTATGATAGTCACACACACACACACACAGAGAGAGAGAGAGAGAGAGAGAGAGAGAGGCAGAGACACAGGCAGAGGGAGAAGCAGGCCCCATGCACTGGGATCCTGACGTGGGATTCGATCCGGGTCTCCAGGATCGCGCCCTGGGCCAAAGGCAGGCGCCAAACTGCTGCGCCACCCAGGGATCCCGAGCAAAAGTCTAGGACAGTCACTTAGAAATGAACCCTAGAAGTTAATCGGCAGCTTTTGATTGAATAGAACTATAGCTTTCTATAGTTTTGGGGAAACTAAAAGGAGCAAATGGAAAATAAGTTTATAGGCAGCAGTGGAATGAGGTGTAGGATGTGAGCTTGGGCATGGACTTGAATTCTTCCTTTTGAAAAACAGTAGTGGAGAAACTAGTCTTGAGTCTGCTCCCAGAGGGAATGGCAGACCGCCAAGGTCAGGCTAACAACTGCATGCCTAGATAACTTGTCCTATTCTTGGTACCCATAGCCTTGTCTCTGGCCTCAGGGCCCTGAGTCAGCCCATCCCCTGGGGGTTTGTCCTGATCCTCTTCCATATGCACACCTGGGGGAAAACAGGATGAAGGCAGGGAAAAGATGGAGGCTTTCCCTCCTTGAGAGTGGAGAATCACTGACCAGTTCATTGGCCTCTACAACCATGAGGTCCATGCTGAATCCATGGGGTGGGGGGGGCACAGGGATGGTAGGATTGGTTTAGCAAACACAGGTCCCTCTTCTTGCTCCATCACGTCCCCAGAATTACTCCTACACATCAGGTGCCTCTGAGCTACAGTTCTGGGTTCCCCCAGCTGAGCACTCCAGCAGTCTGGATGGCCACTGGTGGGAGAGCAGAGACAGATCAGATGCTCCAGCACTCAAGGTTCATGAGCTTCAAAACCTTTTTTCTTCCACTTCAAACATACACTCTTCTCTCTTGGGCAGCTATAAATAGGGTTGTTCTAATATAGGAAAAAGAAACAAAAACAAAAAACAAAACTCCTCCCTCTAGACAACATAGGAAGACTCAAAATGATTGCACTTATTAGATGTGGATAGGGTGGGCAGAAGGCTCGCCAAGTGTGCACACATTCCTCTTCTTGCCCACAGCTTGGGGCCAGAGGTAGGTGGCTCTTGGCTGGCTGCTGAGCAGGATCCTCTTTGGTGGAGCCCACAAGCCATCTGGGGCTACAAGACAACTTTGGGGCAAGGCCCAGGCTGGCTTCTGGTCAGCAGCCATGTTTCTCTAAAGACAACACTTAGCAAGGAGAGTAGGGCTCCCCCAGGGAGCACTCAGGTAGGGGTGAGGAGATGGCTGGGCCAGGAAGACAAGAAAGAAAAGGGGTTAGTGTTTGAGGCTGGCTTCCAATTTTGTAGTCTAGTCCTTCAGATGATACATTTTCTCTTTCTTTCTTTCTTTCTTTCTTTCTTTCTTTCTTTCTTTCTTTCTCTCTCTCTCTCTCTCTCTCTCTCTCTCTCTCTTTTTCTTCTTTTTTTTTTTTTTTGGTGATGCTTTAAAACCTGGTTTCTGTCCTGCAGAGCTAAGTCTTTCCTCTTGGGGAGTGACAGCAGCACATTCAACATGGTAATGCCTGCTGTTTTTCCTCATTCAGCTAGTATCCACTAGCCCAGTGGTATGGGCCTTTTGTGAGCCCTCGTGGATTGGACCCCAAGCAGGCATGTGGGGGAAGAAAGAGGAGCTGTGTAGACAAGAAAGCCAGCTGTGTGGGCAGTACAGGGCTCAAACCACGCGCCCCAGAGGACCAGTGCTGGCATTAAGCCTGAAGGTCAAGGATTCTTTGGCAGAACCCTGGGTTGTTTGAATCACCCTGGGGGGCACAGCCAGGGGACATTTTGGCTCATGACTAGCAAGGCACGACCCTATAATGGCAGAAGCCCTTCTTCCCCCTCCCCATCCCCCACTAGACCCACTTCCTTCGTGGGCCTCTAGCACCCTTCCAAACTGATGGGGCCAGGGAAGTGAGCTGGTAAAATGGGCAGTGTGGCTGGGAAGGGGAAGGGGAAGGAGATGCTGTTCTTTCACCCCTCAGGGGGAATAGAGCCAGCACTTAATGGCTTTTCCAGGGAGTATGTAAGGAAAAGGGACCATAGTAAAGAGAGAGAGGGAGAAAGAAAGAGGCAGAGAGAGGCAGGAAAGGAAGCTAGAGAGACAGAAAGGGAGAGTGCTTGGTCTATAATGATATTTTTTTTCCTCCAAAAGAAAGAGAGGAGAGAGTTCCTCATCTCGGGATGGGGGCTGCCGGCTCTGAGGGCTAAGGAGTCTGAGGGCTTTAAAACCTGGGTCTTGGGCCCCAGGAGCACTATTTGTAGGGCCTCAGGAAGCTGGAAACTTTGGAGCGGAGGAGCTTGATGAAGGATTTTGGCAACATCTCCTTGTGCTTCTCTGTATACTTGAAGTAGTTCTGGGGGTGGGCCAGCACCTCGAAGAAGGCCTTGATAAGCTTCTTGTCCTGCAGAGGATAGCAGGTAGCCATGTCAGCCTCAGCATTGGGAGTGGGAAAGAGGAACACCAAGCCCCAACTTAGAAGCAGCCCCTCTTGATGGTGAATAGGCATACCCAGAGGTGAACTCTGGATTTCCAACCCCACCACCTGTTCGTCCTTGAGAATCTTACAGCTCAGTCATTTGCAGATCCATCCATCCTTCTGATGCTCAGGCCCCAGGCCTTGGAGTCATCCTTGACTCCTCTCTCTTGCCCACAACCACAACCAATCCTGTTGATTCTACCTTCAAAACATATCTGGGGTCTGACCACTTCTCACAGCCTCCACAGCTACCACCCTGTCCAGGCCACCATCATCTCTCACTTGGACTACTTGCAGTAGCCTCCTCACTGGTCTCCCTGCTTCTACCTACCCTTGTGCCTCTAATAGACTATTCTCCCCTAAAGCAGCCCAAGTGACTTTTTTTGGTTTTTAATTAGATCATGTCCTTTTTCTATTCAAAACACTTCTCTGGTTCCTTTTTTTTCACCCAGTAAAGTCCAGTCCCTTGCATGGCCCATGGACTGAATGTGATCCATATTCTGCTCTCTGTTCTCCAGCCCCCCTGGACTTTCTTATTCTGCTGAGCTCCCCTGGCCTCCTGCGGATTCTCAGACATGCCACACTGCTCCCATGCTCCTTGGCTTGAAATGTTCCTTTCCTGATCTTCTAATGTGTAGCTCTTTACCTGATCCAGGTCTCTTCTCAGAGGCCTTTTCTGACCATTCTGTCTGAAACAGCAACGTGGTGTGTGGAGAGCCTGTGAGGTGCCAGGCACTGTGCACTGAGACTCAGATCTTCTGGCTTCTAGGCTAGTATTTTCCCTTTGGCATCAGCAGGTTTTTAAAAGAAGAGGCAGGGCTTCCAGCCTCTCATCTCCACTTTAATCAAAACAGCTCCACTACTATATGCATCAGAGTTCCACAGCACATCTGAATTAAGGGTTCAGATGCTCTAAAACATGTTCAAAAAGCAGTGCTGAAATTATTTCCTTTGTAGTCTGCAAGTTCTGGATTTTTGTCATCGTGTCTCTCATTCTGATGGCCTTATAAAAATGATTTTAGTAACCATAAAGATAAAACTTTTTCTTGCATGGATAATTTGTGAAGGATAATACTGTGGCTAGGACTGTAGTTTGCTAAGTAAAGTTTTCTCAAACTGGGATCCACAAACCCAGGAGTCTAGTTTATTCTTCAATGCTGGTAACATTTATTTTTCTTTAAAACAGGTCATGCTGCACTAGATCTGCTCTTTTTCTGTGGGAACTGAAGAGGGAGGCAGGGAGGGGAGGGACTTAATACAGAAGGATCTTCCTGTACCTCCCTTGCCCCATATTATGTGTGCTCCATATTTCTCCTACTGTGCAAGCAGTAGGAGGCATTTCATCTCCTCATCTGCCTCCCCCCACAGTGTAAGGTAGCGTGAGTGACTCTGAAGTCAGATGGACTCAGACACACCGGGCAAGTTCTGCAACTCTCTGTGCCTCAGTTGTCTTAGGTGCAAAGTGGGAATGATGAAAGTATCTAGTTCATAGAGCTACCGTGCATACCAAATGAGACTATTCATGTAAGCTTTCAGCCTACTGCCTGCATACTGTTACACGCTCATTAAATGCTGGCTGTTCTTACTGTTGTGCATGTTCACTTGCCTTTAAAATCTCCTGGTGGTTTTCAGACGCATAGAGCCGGCCATCTCGAACGATGTCTTCTACTAGCTGCTCATAGTCCTCTGCAAAATCAACCAAGTGGAGCGGTTTAGGGCTGGAAACTCTTCCTGCACTCCCTGCTCCCCCCGAAGACTCATGAGCCTCCCCTTTCTCACCCACCTCCCTGGCATTCCTGCCCCTGCTCACCATCATAGGTAACATAGGGGATCTGGAAGCCACGAGCACTGTTGGCCTCACTCGTCTTAAAGTTGATCCAGAGCTTCCTGGAGCGGGCCGTGAAGGCAATGGGCCGCTCGTAGGTCTGGCAGGTCTCGTAGGTGGTAATGGAGGATGGGGAGGCTGGGAAGGCAAGCAGCAGGTCAGGAGAGCAGCAGGGCAGGCTGCCCAAGCCCTCCTGGAGGAGGGCTGTGGGGGAAGAAGTCATGCTGACAGAACCCACCCCCTCCCAGTGCACACACCTCCCCCACCCTCCAGCATATACATGTCTTCTCCCCCTGCCCTCCACTTGTTACACAACTCCTCTTTGACATCCAGGCACCCACAGTGTTTAAGAAATTTGACATTTAAATGAATGGAAGAGCAAAAATGCTAGAACAGGAAAGTGACACGTTTAACCCTATTAGATTTCTAGTCCCAGTGCTGGCTTTAACTCTGCTCTCCATCAAACGTAAAACATTCATTGCTGTTTTCCTTTGTTAGCTCTCCTCCCACGGCCTCCCTTCTCACTTCCCCACTTCTTCCTGTACTAATCTTCTCTCTCCCTCTCTTTCTCTCTTTCCTTCCCAATCTTATTTGAACTGCCCTCCCCTGGCCCAGCTCTGTAGCCACCCACAGTTCTTTCTCATGACGAGGACGTCCCCACACTCATCCTCAGATGGCAGGAAGATCTCGGGTACCACAATAAGGATCTTGCGCTTGGGTGGGGGGTTGATGTTCCAGACACACTCCACACCAGCTGGGTAGTTGCCTGGGTAGTTGGGGGACTCGATATAGCCAGTGAACTCACCCAGCTCCCCGCCACACTGGCGATCTGTACAGAAAGGTGCAAGAAAGAGAGCAAGAAAGAGAAGTAAAGTCAGTAGGGAAATGGGTTAGGGATGTTGAAGCATTTCGAAGTGGAAACCAGACACGTGTAGGCAAGCCACCTTCCTGGTTCATCACCTGTCTCCAAGTTCTGGGTCCATCTTCCTTTCTGCCCTTTTAGTACCTTCTTGTCTCACTTCACCTCTTTGGTCTCCCCATTACCCGTGTCCAGGGAGATGGTGCCACAGGACCCATCCCAGCTACTGGTCTTGAGATTGAGTGAATTGAGAGAGATGGAAAGTGGGACATTCCTGCCAGTCCACTTCCTAGCCTTGCTCCCTGTTGGTTTCCTTATCCCACCCCAACATCTTCCCATGCCCACCATTCCCAGGCCTCTCTACCCCGTTTTCCACAGTCTGGCCTGCCACGTACTCTTGCATTGGGCCACACTGGTGGAGCCATCAAAGTCGGTGCTTGTGTTTCCTGGACAGCGGGTGCAGAAGTTCTGACGGAAGTCGGGCTGATAGGAGCCCATGGCACAGCGGATGCAGCGATGGATGCTGATGTTATAGTAGTGACCAGGGGAGCACTGGACTACAGGCAAGGGGGAAAGGCAGGAGTTAATTGAGATGGTGGGAAAGTGGGAGTTCTGGGGCATGGGATGAGCAGGACATGTTCATCATGGAGAAGCAGGGGACTGAAGACACCAAAGTTCCTTCCAGAGTCCTAGCCTTTCTTAGTCATGCCAGACTGTAAGCCCAAGGGATGAACAAACTTGAACAGAGTAATTGGCTACCATGCCGATCCTTTTCTTTCAGGCACTTGAGCCTAGTGCCAGACCTATAGAAACTCATCTGTAATACTAAGGGAATGTGTTACCAGTTCTCCAAAGCTGATAGGGTAAGTGGGACTGTTATTTATTCCCTAATTCTTAGACTTGAGGCTGGTGGTGGGTCAGGATGTGCCCTCTGAGCAGGACAGTATGGTTGGTCAGGCAGGTGGGCCTTGCTCAGTCTGGGGAAGATGGTAGGGCAGCATAGTTAGGTTTGATCTGAGGACTTGGAGAGTTTTCTTGGAAGTAGTACAAGCTAGGGAGTCCCCCAGCAAGTAGCCCATTCACCTTTGGTGTCACAGTCCTGGAAGGAGACAGCCCCCTCATGCTTGGTGGTAAGGCCCCCACCACATGGGAAGCACAAGGTCCGTCCTGCTTCAGGTTGGTAGGTGCCGCGTGGACATGGGTGGCAGGGCTTGAACCCATCTACAGAGTATTGGCCAGGCAAGCACTGACCTGCAATGAATCAAGGGCCCAGCTCTGATGGGGATGGTCCTGGTCATCCCCACGGGATCACCCAGTCACAGGGGACAGAGGCACACAAAACAGGATGTTGGCTAAGGAGAGTGATCTGGAGCCTGGGCCTGCCCTTGGGAAATCCCATGCCCGTGGGCGTCCCAGTGCCCACCCGACCCCACTGGCACCTGCACATGTGGTGACGTTGGTGGCTCCAAGAGGCCCGTGGGCATCACTCCCAGGGCAAAGGTCGCAGGAGAGCTGCCCTTCTCTCTCCTGGAAGGTGCCCGCCGGGCATGGCACACACTGCTCCGTCTGGCCGTGGTAATACGTTCCCTGCGGGCAGCTGACTGAGGGAGAGTCGGCCGTGCTAGCCACCCACCCCCCCTATTTCCCGCCACCCAGGCCTGGGATTCCCCTTCCCACTCCCCCAGATTCAAGGAGAATCTCTTGGGAATAGAGAGAATCCTGCTTGGGAAGATCAGGGGACAAAGCCACACACAGAGGGTTGATGGTCCCTCTAGACATAACATCCTCTAGATTTCAGCCCAGGACGAGGGATAGGAAGGTGATAGGCCACAGGGTCTTGGCTGCCTCACGGTTTGAAGTACAACCAAGGCTGTAAAGTGTCCTGTTCTGGGTCAGGCCCAAGTCGGGCCCTTCCCACTCCCGCATTCCCCAGCAAGCTCCCTTACCACACTTGGCCCCTGCACGGTGCTGTCCAGGCCTACAGACTTCCACCAGCTCAGCTCGGTCCCCAGCCCCTGGGCCTGGCTTGTGGGCCAGTTCATAATCGAGGCCTGCCAGACGCAGCAGGAAGCGGTCCTGGTTGATGGACTTTCTAAGCATCTTCAGGGACCCTTTCAGCCGTCGTTCCATTCGCTGTCGGAGGCAGTGCAGTCCACAGGCAGCTGGTGGTAGATGATGGTAGGAGTTGGGGAAGGCAGAGAAAGTGGCCGTGAGCTGGAGAGCAGGGGGCAAAGCTAGGAGGGGCATGGTAAGAAAGACTGGTCCCTGGGCTTGGTGGTGGGCCGGGTCTGCCCTTAGTAGAGGCGCTGCCCCTTCCTTTGCTGCTGAGACCTGTGGCTTCCCCACCTCTGACCCCCGGCCCTCCACCCTCCTCCCAGCAGTGCCCCCAGTCCCACCTGTGGTTTCTTCGGCTCTGACCTCTGCCTCCAGTTCCAGGGTGAGCCGAGTGACTTCCTTGCCTGGAGGGGTCCGGGCCCGCCGGCCCTTGCCCTTCCGAGAGGAGTCACACTTGAGGTGGATGAAGGTGACCTGGCAGTCAGAGCAGGGGGCACCCCCTGGGGGAGAGGCCTTGTCAACCCCCAGGGGCACCCCCTGGGGAGAGAAAGTTCTCACTCCCAGCTCTCACTTTTCCACCCCGACCCAGACAGACCTCACCAGATCTCCACAACTAGCTCAGTTCGCTTTTAATGTAGGATACCAGTTATTTGGTGGTGGGGCATGGAGGGGTATCCCAGGACTTCCTTGGGTCCTGTGCCTACAGGGATCTCTTCCCCTGCTCTGTCCAGGATGTTCAGGATCCCAGTAGTTTTTTGGAGATCTCGCTAAACAGAGGAGCTGAGGGGTGGGAAGGGTGTGGTGGCCAGACAACCCACTGGAGTGGGGTCCCCAGTCCAGACCTTGCCCCAGGATTCTGCTGGCCTCCTCCATTTTGCCTTTGTTTCGCAGATGCAAACGGCATTTGGCGTCCTTGATCTTGAAGGAGGCCCGCTGTTTAACTGATAGCACTGCAGCCTCTAGAGGGATGGCAAAAGCTCAGCATGGCCTGGGGGCCCTGTGGGGGTGGGAACCGCTGTGGAGGGTATCAAGGAGCTGGGCAACAAGCCAGGGGCTTGGCTGGAGAAGGGTTATGAAAGCCAGGGGAATCGGATGTTAGGGGCAGAGGGAGCAAGGCAGAAGGTTTGAAGAATGACAGGGCAAGGAAGGGGATCCAGGAACAATTAAGGCCAGGAGGATTAATGGAGAGAAATAGGGGTGACTAAGCAAAAGGATAAGGTGGGAACAAGGCCTCCGGGCTGGTGCTCACCATGGCAGTGGTTGGAGTTTGTGCTGTTCCCGATGTGGCCAGCTCGGGCTGGAGTGGCCCTGGGGCTGGGAGTGCCACAGCTCACCGTGAAGCCATTCTCAGACTCTGAGAAAAGGGGGCTGTCACAGCTCTGGCCTGGCCACCCAACACCCGCTGGTTGGAGTAATGCAAGGGAAGTGGAAGGACTCCCTGCACAGCCAACCTTTCCTCCCTGCCAGCCCTGCAGCAACTGCCTCTATATACCTGGCAAAAACCGGGCCCGGGAGGGGCAGGTCAGGGCACAGGTGTCCTTCTTGCCAGACCGGTTGCAGCTGAGCATGGCTTTTGAGGCACCAGGACTGCTTTGACATTTTACCGGCTCTAGGAAGGGGAGAGAGACCTGAGGAAGAGAGGGTCTTCCTCTTCCGCCCTCCTTCACCTTTTGCTAATTTGGAGGAAGAGAATTAGCTACATGCAGAATGGTTAATTGTAAAGAGACTGATGAAGGGATTCTTTACCAGAAGCTTCATGTCTCTAACTCAAATAGCTACATTCTCCTCCCCTACAACCTCATAGCTTCCTCTGCGCAGGACACCAACACCCACCCACCCGCAAAAGTGCAGTGCCAGCTCTGGCCAGCAGAGGGTGCTGCCCACCTGTGCAATCTTTGCCATTCCAGTGCAGCCGGCCCTGGCCAGCTGGGCAGGTACACTGGTAGCTGCCAGGAGTGTTGATGCAGCCGAACCGGCAACCTCCCCGGTTGATGCTGCACTCATCCACATCTGGGGGAAGGAGTAGAGAGACACCAACAATGGTGGGGCGCAGTAGGAGCCAGGGAGTGGGGCAGTGAGTGAGGAGGACCCTTGGCTAGAGTTCCAGGCACTCCAAGATGATTATTGTCTTGGGAAAAGCTCAAGCCTAGGACCTTCTTCCCTTATATCTGTCCCATGTCAAAGAACGATGGACTAAGAAGGGACCCAGCTGACAAGCTTTTTAAAGCCTTCCACTCCTTCCTACCACTGGGGCTATAAAAAGGAGGTTGAGGATGGGAGTCAAAGAGGCAGAGATGGGATGGGGGAGAGATACTGGGAAGGCAGGATGCTGTTCTCTGTTCTCGTCTCCTAGTGTCTCAGTTTCTCCCAAGTCATCATGAGGGACACAAACATGGCATGTGCACCCGGGGATTGCCCATAGCCACAAGCCAACTCAGGAACTTATTCAACTGAAGGGTTTGGAGGTGAGAGGGGCCAGGTGGCAGATCGTCTAAATTTGCTAGCTTACCCCCACAGTGGGTGACACCATAGAGCAGGTAGCCATGATGGCAGAGGCACTGGAAACTTCCTGGTGTGTTGACACATATGTGGTCACAGGTTCGATCAAAAGAACACTCGTCAATATCTGGAAGAACAGGGATGCAAGCCACTGAATCTGTCTTGGGACACTTGACACTGGGACCCCTTGCCCAGGTGAAGGATCCATGTGAGGGGCTTTGGCCCTCCCTCATGGACCAGCCTAAGATCAGCGATTTAACATTGCCTGCCCATTCCCTGTGCCCCTCCACTTACAGTCTTTGGAGTGGGGAATGGTGCGATCTGGTACCTATGGATCAGGGCCACCATATGTGGTCAGGCAGGTCAGATCCCACCAAGGGTTTGAATTGGGGAGAAATCCATCCCTCCTCCTCCTTGCCAAGAGCAAGGTAGAGCTGGTCCATCAAGAGGAAGGGGTATGTCTGTTATTTTGCGGCATGACACTGGCTATGGAGACTCCCCATGGTGTCCATTGACCTTCTCAAGACTCTGGCCTTCTGGGCTGCTTGAAGCTCTCTTACCCGTAGAACCTCTCCCAAGGCTTTCCCCTTGGCCCCAGTCTGCTCACCCTGGCAGTTCCTCTCATTGATGAGCAGCTTATAGCCCTTCTTGCAGCTGCATTCAAAGCTGCCCACTGTGTTGCGGCAAATGTGGTCACAGCCCCCATTGTTCAAGCGGCACTCGTCTATGTCTGGGGAAGCAAGATGAAGTAGAGAGAATCAAAGGTGATACCCAAGGCCAGGGACAAATAAGATGACCTCCTTTCCTGCCTCCCTCACTCCCTCCCGCCCTTGCAAAGACAGAGAAAATCAAGCAGAGCCCTGGGCCCGCCCTTCTGACCCCTCTCTCACTCTCTGGTGTCTTTCTTCCCTCTTCCTGGGATCTGTGGCCATTAGGAACACCATTCCTGGGACTGAGCCCTCTCAGAAAGGGACAGATGGGAAGCAGAGTCAGGCCCTCCCTACCTGGAGTAGGAAGTAGGTAGGCATTTGAAGCATATGTGAATTTCTGCCCCTCATTCTGTGCTGATGGTCCTTCCCCCCAAAGGCTGGTAGATCAGGTTTATACCTTGCTGCCCCCACCCCTACCTAGCCTAACAGCCCTGGGCCATGGTGTGTGGGGTGGCACAGAGAAGGGGGATTCAAAGGGGCAGCCCCTCAGAGAGGAGGAGCTAGGAGACAGCCAGGGACCAGGACCTCCAGGAGAGCCAGTGAGGCTGGGTAGCTGTGGGGTGGGGGTGGGGGGGTGGAGGGAAGCAGGGGGCTGTACTGGAAGAGGCCTGGAGAGGCTCAGGCCTGAGGCGGCTTTCAGCACTAGGGAAGGGAAGGGGGGGCCCATGAGCAGCTTCCTTCCTGAGGTCAAGTTCCCCAAGCTGGTGGCAGACAGGACCCAGGCTACTCACCCCTACTTGGGGGAGGGGGCAGAGAGGGCAAGTCTTCCACTTCACTCTTAGCATACCTGTCAACAGTCCTTCTCAGCAGAAAACCTCTCAACTCTGGCTGTCTGACCTGCTGCCCCAGCCCTCCCTGTCTCCCCATCCTCTCCGCCAGTTGTTGGGCCAAAAGACACAAAGAAGGAACCCAGTCCTCCTTGTGACCAGGAGACCCGGACCTGATGACTCATTATTATCAGTATGGCTGCCCTCCCTTTTGCTCCCCCACTCCACCTTTCTCCCAGACCTGGCTTATTAAAAGGAAGGGAAATAGGATGGACAATATGGGAAATTATACCATAATAATCACTAACATAAGACACTTACCATATGTCAGGTACCATTCTAAGTACTTTATATATAATTTATATATAACTGATCTAATCCTTACAACAAGCACTATCATTGTAGGGGAACTGAGGCACAGAGATGCTAAGTAATTTGCCTTAGATTGCAGAGCTGGGATCTGAACCCAGGTAGCCAGGCTCCAGCATCAGCACTCCCAGCTACTACCCTATTCTCCCTCCGACCAGTATAGCCTTTCCACTTGGAAAGGTCTGGGGAATGTGGGTTAAGAAGGTTACAGAACACATCTGTGACCTTGTACACACACAGTCAGGGCTCAAATATCCTTCTAGACCAGGGACAAATGAGAGTGGCATGCTCATTAAGCAAGAGGGTTAGAAACCCATAGAGGGATAGGAATGAGAGTAAGGAAAACAAGGTAGGCTGTAGGCAGGGGGCACTAAGGAACTGGCTGGACTTTTGTGCCCCTTGAACTGGGATGGGAAAGGTGGAAAAGAGACAAGCCTTAGCCATGCCCTCAGTTCTTTCTAATCAGTATAGCCTCGGGGGGTTGAGGAGGTCTCATAAAAGGTACTGTATCTCTGGTCCCAACCTCAGCCCCTTCCCCCTGTGCTCCTGTCTCCTGAGAGCCCTTACCTTTGCAGGTCTTCCTGTCTGGCTGCAGCATGAAGCCCACGGGGCAGCTGCAGTGGACACCCGTGGCCGCATCATGACACTTACTGTCGCAGCCCCCGTTGTTGACAGCGCAGGTCTCTGTATAGGAGGGAGGTAGGGGATGGTAATTGGGTTACTGGCTTGGAAGAGTCCCAGACTTGAGGGGAGTAGAGAACGCAGAGGCCCAAGGGAAGGCCTCAGCTGCCTCCCTGGGCTTTCGAAGGAGCATTCCGTGGAGGCTCCCAGCCCCCATCCCCTCACAAGTGCAGCCAAGCAGTCCACTTCCCTGCCCCCTTCTTGATTGAAACAAGGTGGACAGCAGTGAGGCAGGTACAAGCCAGAGCTGTCAGGCAGGAATGTGCTGAGGGGGTGGAGGAGGTGGAGTGGGGAGGGTGCAGGGAGGGATGGGAGCTCAGGAAGGGTGGTTCTCAGCCGCCAGGGAACAAGAAGGGACAGATAGGAGTCTCTTCCTCTTTCCCTCCAACTATTTCTTTGGTGGTTGTAGGGGCCAGGGTAGGACAGTCTGGGGAAGAGTGAGCCTAGTGATCCCTAAGACAGCTGAGGGATGGCCACCAATTCATCTTCCCCTTCCGCCTGGCTCCACACTCTTTAAAAAAGATCCCCAGTTCCAGGCCTAACTGCTCATTCTCAGAGGAGAGGCACAAACTTGGTCATTTCCCAGCCCCTGCCCAGCTACATCCAACTCATCCTAAGACCTCCCTTTTGTTCCAGATGGAGATAAGCTGGCTGTTCTGTTGTTGTTTTCCTTTCCTAATGGGGAGAGACTGTCTAGGTAGGGGAGGAGGACAATGGGAAAAGAAGAATCCAAAGGATGAGGCAGGATGTAAGAAGGTAGATATAAGAGTTACAGAACTAGAAAACCTCAGAGCTAAGTCTCTTCTGTTGTCCCCTCTTAACTGGTAAGTTCTCTCTTCACTGAAGAGTCACCATAGGGGGAGTATGGATGGATCACTCTCCCTATTTTCTGAATTCAGAAGAGGACGTAAACAAGTTTAAACTGCAGCTCAGGTGAGCCCAGGCAGGGGAAAACCGTCAGTTCAAATAGTGCAAGGCCCTGATCCAGGGATCTGGAGGAGGCGCAGGCCATCCTCTGGGGGGCTTAGAGGTCTCCTTTTGGAGAGACAAAATCCCAAGCCCTCTCCTAGGGAAGAAAGGAGAGTGGTTCTCCAAATCAGGGGAACCGAATGAGAAAAGCAGCAGAGAATCCTATCATTTTGAATCTTTGACTCCCAAAACCAGGCACAACCCTTGTCACCAAGGAGGCCACCAAAGCAAGTTTCTAGAAGAAGCCCAACTCCGCCTGTGGGTCTCTAGTCAGGCCCTTGTTGCTCAAATACAACCAGGAGAGGTCTGGGAGCAGCCACAGTGGGATCTCTTATGTGCCACTCCCACCCTAGACTCCTGAGGTTCCTCAATACCATGAGAGGAACCTAGAGAGAACCTTGAGTTCAAGCTCCAAGCCTAGCCATTCCCCCCAAGAGTGCTCTTAGTATAAGAGGTCCTCCAAGCTCTGGAGCAGGGAGAGGGGAACAGAGATCCTGCACCAAGACTAGGTAAGTTTGGAGGGATCCAGGGTGGGGGGCAGCCAAGCTGGCACAGTGTCCATGCAGGTCAGACCAGGAACCTGGGTATAGCTGCCCTCTCCTGTAGGGCAGCATTTGGGTGGGGGATTAAACCACAATTTAATCTATGCTTGCTCTGTGCCAGGCACTTAGATCCTCTGCACACACTGTCCCAAGTCTTCTCAGCAACCCTAAGGGAGAACTCTCAGTCTCCCTGTTAATAGAAGAGTAAACTGAGGATCAGAGAAGCAAGTAGCTTGCTTGAGGTTAGAAAGTGGCATAGGCAGCATTCAAACTCAGGTCAGTCTGAATTCAGATGTCATGCTGGTACCCATTATGGTGGGACAGAATGGCTAGTGATGCTGGGGCTGTGAGCTGGCCCGGGTAAGAACACAACCCCAAGGATGGGATGGCCTGTAACTATCCCACCCCTATCTCAGCCATCTCATGAGCACAGCCGGTGAGATGGAACTGCTGGGTCTTCTGCTGTGTAGAAGACAGAGAGAGGGAGGGGGTAGATGGCTGAAAAGGGGTGAGGTGTTAAAAAGTGAGTGTGGGAGAAGGTGGCAGGAGAGAGCAGGAGAGGAAGGAAAGGAGGAGAGTGAAAGAAACAAAGAAGGGACAAAACCAACATGAAGGCCCCCCTGGCCCACTCTTGGGGACTCGGGTTTCCTGTCACCCAATGGGCCCGGTACCCAGGCTTCAGGGGAGCCCTGCTGGTTGGCTGGAGTCCAGTCAGGCTGGGCCCAATGGGCATGCAGTTAGTGGGAGCCCCAGCAGGTTAGCCCTTCCCCTAGCAAGCCAGTGAGAGCAACAGACAGCAGACATATTTACCATTAGAAACGGCCTGAGGGGGGACGTGCTGCTCTAGCCGCCTTTCCCCTGTTTGACATTGTAAAAAAGCTGTTTAGATGCTGGGCAGCAGCCACTGTGGCCCACTGTGTCCCAGCCCCCTCCCCACCCTCCTCCGCCCTGTAGGCCCAAACCACTGGCCCCAAGTGATGAGCCCAGAGACTCCTACACTTAGCTCTCCAGCCTTGTCCTGCCTGGTGTCCTCAAAGAAGCTAGGCTCCCACCAGGTGACTGATGGAAAACAGAGTCTCAGAAAGGGGTCGTCATGGGCCTAGTACCACACAGCATGCCAATGGCAGAGCTGGGATGTGATTTCAAATCTGACAAGTTGCCAAATCCCAAAGGGGGCCCACCCTTTGGGCTCAATTATACTGGCCTCTCCATCTCCCCACTAAACCTGAATGTCCTGGTGGCCCCAAACAATGACATTTCCTCCTACCAGGGCTGGGGAGAAAAATGAGATTAGCACAAGGCAAAATAAGTTCTATGGGAAAAGAGGGAGAAGAACTCGGGAAGAATATAGCCGTCAACCCTAGAACAGCCTCATTTGCTCTCTTCTGCCTCATTTGGCCATGGTCCAGAAGACAGATTGGGTCTTGCATTAGAGAAGAGCTCAAGCTTACACGGGGTGTTTTCAAAAGCAGCCATGCCCAGGACTATCTGTACAAAAGGAAGCCAGAGAGGGAGCTGGCCCCACATTCACTAGTCCGAGCTCTGTCCTGATACATGCAGCTTTTCTTTGGGGACGGCATGCAGTTTCTTTTGGGAGACTGAGAATGTGGGAGTATGTCCTGGGGGGGGGGGGTTAAGAAGCAGAAGAACTCAACTTATGAGGGGAAAGATGAAAGAACCTGGAAGGAACCAGCTAGGAGAAGGTGACACGGAGACCTAAAAGTGTCCCAGGGTCTTTGAAGGGTTAGTTCAGAGGGAAACATGTAGCAGGAGAGAGTTTAATTAAAGAAGTTTAGAGCCATGTGTATGAAGTTTCTGGAGCAGGTACTTGGAGGATACCTCTAACAGCATCATTTGTTTCCCTGTTCTTCTATCCAGGGAGTAGGGCAGTGCTGTCTGCAGAGACGGGTGGGGTCATTGGAGGGAGATGGGGAGAGTCTGGCTCTTAAGCTGAATGTCATGTCTCTGACAAATACACAGTGACTGTGTTCATGCTTCCTTGTCCTCCACATTCTGTAGCCCCTGAGATGACCGGCCTCCATAAATACCCGTTGCCCACACAGTAAGCTCACCCCTGCCTGGCTCCCTGACCAGACCCTTCCCTTTTGTTTCCCACTTCTCCAAGGGGCACCTTGTCCCACCGTCTCTCTCAGCACTCTGTGAGCACACAGTAATTGGCCTTCACAAAATACCTAAAGACAGAAGGCGTTAGGAATTCAGCTCCAGGAATTAAGGGATTAAATCCATCTATAGTACCTGAAGGTATGTGCGGTAAGGCCTAGGAATTCAGGAAAAGGGATCCAGGTGTTAAGAAGGCCCCAGCCAGGGCGAGAGGGATGGAAGGCTGGAGCTGGTGAGGCAGTGAAGGGCTGCAGGTAGAGGTGTGGAGGAGAGAGGAGGCAATGAGGGGGTTGGGGAGGGGAGCAGGCCAGGATACACAGGATGGAGAGGAAGACACCTGGAGTCAGGAAACCCCATTTGTTGGTTCAGGGCTGGCTGTTCCAGGAAAGAATACTGTGTCCCAACCCCAGTTCCAGAGTGCAGACCAAGGGATGTGATGGCTCCCATCTTCCCATGCTAGTCACCAGGGCCTCAGGTCAGGCTTTGTCAGTTGCATTGGCCCAGCTCTCCTCCCCCTCCTAAGCACAGCCTTGGTCAACACGCACCTCTGCTGATTATTCCCACTTTGGCAAAACTGTGCCCTGGATAAAGAGGATGGCAAGGCCCCCAGGAGTGGGGCAGAGAAGAGAGTGAGCCCTGCAAGCTCTCAGAGTTGTCCCTCCCTAGACCTGGCCTTGTCATCTGGGTCTTCTGTCCACTCGCCAATCATTCTGTGCCTAGCACCTGGCCCCGTGTGCTCCCGCCTCCCTGGGCTCCCCAGGGCCCCTCCCCTCACCCCTATCACAGGTGCACTCGTGTTCACTGGCCTCACCCACCGATGCACGTCTTCCCATCCGTATGGAGCACAAACTTGACGTGGCAGCCGCACCGGGGACCCTGCTCTGTATCATCACACGTGTGTTGGCAGCCACCATTACCATAGTTGCACGTCACTGTGCAGAGAGGGTGGGAGGCCTGTCAGCTTGCTTTTCCTTGGGTACCACCATTCTCCACAGCATGGAGATTGGTCTAGTCGCCTCTCCCATGCTCCCTCTGCCTCCCACGTCTTGCTGCCAAGGCCCCATGCATTTCCTCTTTGTCTCTCCTTCTCCACTGCCATCCCAGTTATCTCACATTTACAGTCCCGTTGGTTCTTGGTGAGCTCGAAGCCAGGGCGGCATTCACAGGCAATACCCCCTTTGGGTGTCTCCCGGCAAATGTGAGCACAGCCATGGTTCTTGTTCATGCAATTCATTCCTTCTAAAAAGGAAGAGGAGGGAGGTGAGTGCTCTGTGTATCTCTGGATGCTGGAGGAAGAGGAACGGGTAGGATAGTTGGGGCCTAGGAAATTGAGAGAATCCACTGAGGCTGCAACACAGATGAGAGGAACTCCCCCTCACCAACCCCCCATCCTGCTTTGGTGCTAATGAGTGGGGCTCAGAGTCATTCTGAATGATATATAGGTATTGATACCCAGCGCCCCCAAAGCCCTGCACAAGCACCCTCTCCTTCAGACAACCAAAAGTAGTATCTAATAGTTACTGTGCTAGGTACCAGTGGATTTAGGAAGGACCCAGAAAAATAAACATCTCTTGGGAGTGCCTGACTGGCTCAGTCGGTGGAGCATGGTGACTCTTGATCTCAGGATTGTGAGTCTGAGCCCCATGTTAGATATGGAGATTACTTAAAAATAAAATCTTTAAAACAAACAAACACGATGTCTTTCCTCAAAGAGCTTACCATCAAATCAGGAAGAAGATAATAATGTGAGTAGGAAATAATTGGTGCAGATAATTCTTTAAGTTTTAAAGTAAACTCTGTGCCCTACATGGGGCTCCAGCTTACAACCCGAGATCAAGGGTCACCTGCTCTACCAACTGAGCCAGGTGAGTGCCCCTCATTACTATAAGATTTTATTCCACAAATATTTATTAAGCTCCCACTACATACAGAGCAGTATATAAGTTTCCGAGGACACAAAATGAATTAGGCGTAGCCCTGTCCTCAGGGATGTCGCAGGCTTGGGGTGCAGGTGGATGGCAGAGTCACCAGAAACAGACAATACCCCACTATTCCTGCCTCACCTTCCCTATCCAGTCCAAGAATAAGACATTGGTGAGGTCCTCAGATAACAGCAGCTGAGAGCTCAGCCATCCATGGTTTGGCACAACATCCATCTTGGGTCTGGACAGAGGGTACCCCATAGTGACCTCAATCCCACACTGATCCCAACCCCAAATGAACTCCTCCAGATTTTGCTCCAGCACAGTGTTGGTCCATGGAGCCCTTAGGATATGACTAGGTGGAAGGACTAGAGCAAAAGGAGCTAGTGGAGTTCCGAACAGAGGGTGAGACATAGCGGGTATTGAGGGAAAAGTTCCCAGCAGGTGGAGAGAAGACTGGGGGTGCAGGGCTGGGCCCTCCCAGGTCATGGGCTGACCTTCTGGCCGCTGAATACAGGTGTGCTGGTTGTCGCTGAGGAAGAAGCCCTCTCGGCAGTGGCACTCATAGCTGCCCATCATGTTGACACAGCTCTGCTGACAGCCACCGTTGCCCTCAGCACACTCGTCCACATCTGTGTAGGATAGGTGGGTGGTGAGGCCATGGGGTGCAGCCCAGGATCCTGAGACTTTAGCATCAAGAGCTGAGAATGGTCTTAAAATCTAGCACAACCTCCCTGCCCCAATTCAGCACCAAGCCTTAGGCCAGAAAGTTCCTACCCACTCATCAGTGAATGCCCCACTGCTCTTGAAGGGGTCATCCTAAGAGGGAAAAGCTGGGGAGCTACACTGGTGGAGAGGGGACATTTGAACCTGCCTCTGCCTCTGCCTTGAAGACTGGCCTCCCCTTCCCTCACATGTGGGAACTGGGTGTGAGGGCAGAGGAGATCAGGAAAGGGGCCAGGGCAAGAGGAACAGAGATGATGGTAAGGATGGGGATTGGTCAGAGAGAGGCACTGGGGCAGTGGTCACAGCCAGGGAATGAGAGAATGTGGAACTGGCTCTAAGTGCAGGGAGGGCTGTGGCCATGGTGCTAGGTCTGAGGGACAATGTGGGTAAAGGCAGCAAGCCTCAACTCCTTGCAGGGCAGGGACCATTTCTGTGGACAGGCCACAGTCCCGTCCTTCCTCCCTTCCCCCCATGCCTGGGCTTGCTGCCACAGTCCCTAGCCTTTCTCCTATTTTGGTTTAACAAAACAGTCTGGTAGCTTGGCGGGGAGGGGTGGGAGGAAAGCTGCCAGGCCACACCCTAATTACTACCCCAAATCACCACCCCCAGGTCCCAGAGCCAAGCTCATTCTGGGGCTCCCACTTCGATGCCTTGACTCCATCTCTGTGCTACCTACTGCCCTCCTGAGTCTATAGCCCTTCTCGGTTTTCCTTGGCCCAGCAGGCTTCAGGGAGATTGGTCTCCAAACAGAGCAGCTGGAGTTTGAGCTCCTGAGGGCCTCATCTGCCCCTCTCTTCCCATCCTCTCTGCTGAGCCCTGAAATCCCGTCCTTTTCCCCCTTTCTGGCCAAGGGCAGAGGGGCATGGATCCAGCAGGTTCCTGCCTGAGAGGTATCTGTGGTAAAGTCAAGGAGGTATACTATCCTTTGCCTTATTCCTGTCCCTTCCCCCTCTCTCACTTCTCCCCATTCTTGTCTTCCCACTGTTGACCCATCCTACCGTCCGTCCTTCTATTTGCTCCCTTCTAGTGCAACCTTGTGACTTTGCTGCTCTAGCCAAGTTCTTTCTTCCAGTTCTCAGTGGGGAAACTGAGGCCCAGGGCATGGATGATTTAGGGTTCCCCTAAAAGCCAAAGATAGAGTTGAGACATTGAAACACAACCCTAAGGCTAGGGTTTGGTAGACCTTTGCTCCCTCTGACCCTTCCTATGCCTATTCATTCTCTCATCCCTCTGGTTAGTTCTCCCCAGATCTGGTTAGTTCTAGGTCAAAAGCAACCAAATAACTCAGAAACCGATGTTTCCTGTCCTGCAGGAAACTCACTGTCCTGGTCAAAGTGTCATAGATTCTCTTTCCAAAGGAGTCTCCAAAGAGGCCCTCATAGGTGACTGAGTGGAAGAGAAGTGAGGTCCTTTCCTGGTAGAAGAGGTGGCCAGGTGGTCAGGGCTGGGGGGAAGGCCCCATAGGGGTCAGGCTATAGAGGCCTGGGTTGACAGTGGAAACCTTTAAGTCTGGTCCAAAGATGGGATGTGACTGGGTTTAGGTCTAGAGGCAGCACTGTAGGAAGGAGGCTCTCCTCAACTAATAGAACCTCAGATAATTTATCGGTTTGGTGGGGAAGCAGCCTAGCCCAATTTTCTGAGCATCATTCCTCTTCTCTTCCTTTCCTGGTCTTCTAGTCTTCCAGTCTCCTGGCCTCACACCTCAAATCCTTCTCTGCTTCGGGCTTCAGTGTTTCCACTTGGGGAAGAATCTGCCATGGTCCCGGTAATTTTCCAAAATGATTAAGAGACCAAAGTTGAATTTTGTCCCCTAGAAAGTCTCCTATCTCTGACCCAGTTCCTGGGACAAAGATCAGGCCAGAAGTGAGGAAAGGGTGAACCTGGAGATTGCAGGACAAGCTGGGAGAGAACCAGCCTTTAAGGGTTAGAGGCTCCCCGGGGCCCAGGGATGCATCATCATCATCATCACCATCAGTATCATCATCATCATTTAACATTCCTCCCATTTATTGAAGCATGGAGCCAAATTGCCTTCCCACCATGCTCCGTTCCCTGTGGCTACACCCATTATTGTCATCCTCTGGCCCTTGCCCTGGGAGCATTTTCAAGCAGCATCCCCTCTGATGTTTTTCATCCAGCAGTAGAATTATTTCATCCTTAGCACCCGGTCTCAAAGGAGAGGCTCACCTTGTTCTTTACTTTGTGAGAATGCAGCTTTTTGATCACCTTCCTCTCCTGGCCTGGGAAATGGGAAATGCTGGAAACAACTCCTTCCCCACAAGACACCACTTGCCCACACCTCCTCTCCCTCTCCTTTGCTCACCCAGACAGTTGTGTCCATCATGTGCCAGGTGGAATCCATCATAGCAGGTGCATCGGTAATTGCCAGGGATGTTGACACAATCGTGCACACAACCCGCATTATCTTCTCGTTCGCACTCATCCACATCTGTGGGCAAAGAGGATCTGAGGCAGCCGGACCCACTAGCATGCTCCCTCACTGTCCTCCCCTGGGCTCAGCCCTGTGGTGGTTTAAATATGTATGTTTGTATGTATATATATTTTCTCTCTCTGTGTGTGTATGTGTTTACATAGTTACTTTCATAGCCCATAAACCATTTTGCTATTTTCATCTAAACTTAAGTCATAGGGGTGCCTGGATGGCTCAGTCAGTTAAGCATCTAACTCTTGATTTCATCTCAGGGTCGTGGGATCGAGCCCCATGTCAGCCCCATGTGCAGCCTGCTTAGGATTCTCTTTCTCCCTCTCACTCTGCCTCCTACCACACCACTCTCTCCCTCTCTAAATACATACATACATACTTATAAATAAACATAAGTCATAAACATTTTCCTATGTCTCCACCAAGTCTTTCTAATTACCACCTGTACGTGGCTGCAAAATATTCCATTGCGTTGCTATATCATAATGTATTCACTCTTTCTTCCTTCCATTTATTTTCTTATCATAAATAATGCATTAAAGAACACCTTTCCCCATACATTATTTTGTTTCTTTGAATTTCTCTTGAATAAGTCCCTAGGAATTAAATTTCTGGGTCAAAGGGTATAAATACCTTTTCAGATTCTGGCTAGGTCTGACAAAAAATCACTCTTCAATTTATAATGTCACCAAGAATTAATGAGTGTACCTTGTCCACTAAAGTCTTACCAACATGGAAGGTCATAAATCTAAAATAACATCTCAAGAGTGCTTTAATTTGCATTGCTTTAATTATGAGAGGGGAAGACTGTGTTTGTTTATGGTACGAATTTCCCCTGCGGTGAACTGTCTGTTCTCATCCTATGTGGGAATGGTAGGAGGGTCTAAAGATGGAGGTCCCAATGTCAGGGCACCTCCGGCCTTCATCTCAGGATTTGGATCCCCCTCCCACCCTAGCTGGGAGGCTGTGAACTCTTCCCATCAGAGCCTCAGTTGGCCTCTGTGGTGCCCTCTCTGGGAAAAAACAGCCTCCCCTCCCAAGCCTCTTCCTCCTGCCGGTGGCAGGGATTGCAGGCCTTGGTGTGGCACTGATATCCCCTCTCAGGCAGGTCCCCCTCCCCAGCACCCTCCCAGCCTCACCTTTGCAGTGTTTCCCATCCCCCGTGTAGCCAGACTTGCAGATGCACTTGTAGGAGCGCGGGGTGTTCTGGCAGATAGCATCAATGTGGCAGCTATCGGTCCCCTCCACACATTCATCCACATCTGGCAGGGGCAGAGGGGGCACATGAGATGGTTAGCACACTCCACAGGTGCCTTGAAGGTGGTTCCCCAAGGGCAAAATCCTCTCTCTTCTAAAATAGACACAGTGACCCTTCCAGAGACAGATGCTCGTCCACACCCTCCTGATTTCACAGTGGGTCAACTCTGTAATTTCAGGAATTCAGAAAGAACCCCCACTCCCCTCAGAAATACTTAATCCACAGTGACAGCTAAAATTCCATCATTTGAAACACTCTGATTTAAAAACAAAAACCCTTAGGTAGCACACTTACCTTTATTAGAAATATTCAATTCAGTGTGAATTAGTTCACCTCTCTTATGAGCAGGCTTAGAAGGGGGCTGGGTGGGAGGAAGAGAAGAAGCACAGGGACAGTGGCCTCTGAGAAAGCGGCAGGGTCCAGTGGCCCTTGGTAATTGAAGGAGGAAGAAACAGAGGAGACAGGGCACCTGAGAAATCCTCATCTGCCTCACAGTTCTACTTGAGACCAGGCCTGCTCCCACTTGCCCACTAAGGCGCCAAGAATCTTTAAAGGAAAGAAGTTCCATCCTAGAAGATTTCCCTCGGCCCCTGTGCTGTCAATAGCAGAGGGACCAGGACCTGGCAGGGGCTGGTACCAGCAACCTGAAGCCTGATCAGTGGAGCCCTTTGGCTCTCCAGCTGACTCAGGCTCATTCAGCCCGCCACCTTGAACTCTTCCTTCTAACCCAGGTTACTCATCTCACTCCTGGCTTTCGCTCTGATACAAGGTGCTCTTCCCAGAGCTATGCTAAACGAAGAGGCCAGCCAAGATCTAGCAAAAAAGAGAATGGTTCTCCAAGGACATAGCAGAGAGAATCATTTATCATCTTTGGGCAAAAGATTCCAACTTCTGTGGCAGTGTTATGGTATGCATAGAGCAGAACTAAAATATGGCAACATGTTGCATTCGGTTGAAAATTGTTCTACAGGGTGTATTTGTGGAAGGTACTATGATGAAGGCTATGGAGGCTCCGAGGTGACTCAGCCCAGCCTAAAGGAGAGACCAGTAACATGAGGTAGGGTGTGGTTGAGAGTCACAGAGACATTAGAGATAAGGTGACAGGGTCCTCAACCCTGGCTACACATCATCAGAGTTAACTCCCCTAGGAGATGCCCAGACCCATCCCCAGAGGTCTTAGTCAACAAGCCCACAGTATTTTTCAAAAGCTCCCCAGTGAGTCTAACGTGCAGCCAGGACTGAGAATCTCTGTGAAAAGGAACATCAGAGGAGGAAGAAGCTACTTCTAGCTGTGAACTGGGGAACCCAAGTGTATAAGTAGCAACCTGCCAATAAAGGAATGGTATTTGTGATCAAGAGAAGAGGATTGCAGAGTTGCCTGGCTTTTGTGAAAATGCAGAGCCTTATCCCCAAGATATGGAATCCAAATCCTAAAGGTGCTTGATTTTTACTGAATATGAATGAATGAGTGGACCAGGAATCACTCCAACTTAGACACCCGTGAATCATCACTTGAAATAGTTCATTGTCCTCTGCTTCCCTATTTCAAGAAGTATTTCGGGCGCAGGACCAAAGCTTTGTGGGGTAAAGAGAACGGAAATTTGGGAGAGTGCCCCCAAAATCCTGCCTCCAATCTTCTGGGCTTCTATTCAGCTCTGCACTCTACTTTCTCTCTTTGACTCCTCTGCGGCAGTCCGCCATGCCCAACTGCTGTAACTCACACTTACTCTCCACCTCAGGCTCTACAATCATGGTGTCTACCTGCTGGCCCACTCTGGGAATTCATCCGCAGATGAAAGAACAGAGAAGGCAGGCATGAAGGCTAGTTCATGAGAGAAGGCAAGAAGGATAGTAGATAGCGGCTGTGTGGAGTATCAGTAGGCCCAACTGATGGAGTATCCCTTATGAACTCTGAGAGCAGTGCTCCAATAGAACTTCCTATGAGTCGGAAATGCTCTCCATTAGTGGTAGCCATTAGCCAAGTTTGGCCACTGAGCACTTGGCCTAGTGCATTAAGTGGCCATTTAAATTTAATTTAAAATTCAGTTGCTCAGTTGCACTAGGCCAAATGCTCAGTGGCCATACGTGGCTAATGGCTACCACTAATGGAGAGCACTTCAGACATCACAGGAAGTTCTTTTTTTAAAAAAAATGATTTTATTTATTTATTCATGAGAGACACACAGAGAGAGGCAGAGACACAGGCAGAGGAAGAAGCAGGCTCCCTGTGGGGAGCCCGATAAGGGACTCGATCCCAGGACCCCAGGATCATGACCTGAGCCAAAGGCAGACAGATGCTCAACCACTGAGCCACCCAGGCAACCCAATCACAGGAAGTTCTATTGGAGTTCATAAGGGATGCTCCTAGGCCTGGATGGACCAAAAAACTTCCTAAGGCGTGGGATTCAAGTTGAGTTTTGGAGACTGGCTAAGCATTTGACTGTCAGAAGAGGAAAGAGGAAATTTCAAGTGTGGCTAAACGCATTAAGACAAGGTATCCAGAGGTCCCAGTCCTTATTCTCTGTCCCCATATTTATATCCACGCCCTGTGAGTCTTTGAGGCTGGCATGGGGCATTGGTCAATCCCAGTGACTAATAATCATCCTGTCCATCCTGCTTTGAGCCCTCTCTGTCTCTCGCCATCCCTTACCCAGCAGCCAGTAGGGCAATTTGGAAACCCATCAGCAAGCCTTTCCTCTAGGCCATCTCCAAGGAACAGGCCTGTCTCCCAATTACTGGGTGCTTCGCTTGAGTCTACACCAGACTATCTGGGCTCTCAATTCTTTGCTTTGCCTCCAGTTCAATGCTTGCTAGTACCTGAGTGCCACTGATGCTGATGGCAGCAAACCCAGGCTTCCTGGCAGAACCTTTAGACCCTTCCAACAGCTGGGCTCTTCCCACCATCCTACCCACTCCCTCACCTCCCACTCATGGTTCTTATCCCTCTCCAGCCAAGAGTCTCAGCTCTGAAAGTCTTTATCTCTTACCTCCTCCCTCTACAACATCTAAGCAAGCATTCTCCCCCTGTGCAAGCATTCACACACATCTCATTTTTCACATTTGAGACATAGTCTTCTCTTTTCTAGCCACACTGTTCCTGGCTTCCCAAATCTGGCTCAGAATTGTCTCCCCCAAAGCTCTTCCTACTAAGCCCTATTCCTTAAGAGTTCCTGGTCCCAGGGGACTCAGCCTGCCTCTGCTCACTTGCTGCCATTGCTGAGTCGCTCTGCTAATGCTCCTGTGTGGCATGGTCAGCTTTCCTCACTTGGCTGGTCACTCACCAAGGACGGGACCCTTCAACCATTTGAATGGAATCTTTTGTTTTGTTTTGTTTTGTTTTGTTTTAATTTATTTATTTATGATAGTTACACAGAGAGAGAGAGAGAGAGGCAGAGACACAGGCAGAGGGAAAAGCAGGCTCCATGCACCAGGAGCCCGATGTGGGATTCGATCCCAGGTCTCCAGGATCGCGCCCTGGGCCAAAGGCAAGCGCCAAACCGCTGTGCCACCCAGGGATCCCTGAATGGAATCTTTTGAATCAGTTCAGGCCTAAAGCAGAGCTCTGAGGGGCTCCTGGTGACTCAGTCAGTTTGCTTCCAACTCTTGATTGAGGTTCAGGTCGTGATCTCAGGGTTGTGAGATCAAGCCCTGCATCAGGTTCCACACTGGGCATGGACCTCTGCTTGAGATTCTCTCCCTCTGTCCCTCCCCTTCTCTAAAAATAAATAAAACAGAGCTCTGAAAAAGGACCCTAAATTACATCCAGTGTCTCTTCCTTTTGCCAGCTCATTCTTTCAGAGCACCCTTCCACCACATCTGCCCACCCAGAATTGTCCATTTGGTGATCCCTTCAATACCCATAGGCATAGTCTCATCATAGCTCTCAGGGAGCAAGTATTTACTACTGGCCTGACAAACAAGTTGATGCTAGTTGGACATGGATTGGTCTAGACTGGTGGTTCTCAACCCTGGCTGCACACTGGGATTCCCTGGGGGCCTTTAAAAAAATGTGGATGTCTAGGCACTCTCCTAGACCGGCTGCATCAGGACCTCAAGGGTGAGGTTGGGCTGGGCTGTGGTCTGTCTTCCTTTCCCATCTCAAATAATGTGAACAGACCATTTACCTGAGCTGGGAAGCAAGCTGACAGAGTGTCTGAGAAAACAGATTCTGGAGTGGTACTGTGTCAGTGCAAATGCCAGCTCCACCCGTGTCCGTGTGGTCCTGGGCCAGCCTCTGAACTTACCTGCTCCCTCCTCTGTAAACACATTTAGTAATAATAGCACCTCCTCATGGGGCTGCTGTGAGCATCAGATGAGTTAATACTTATCAAGTACTTAGCACTGCAGTGCAGGCATACAGTATGTGCCCAAAAAGGTCTGCTATTTTTATTCCCTCTCCGACTTTCTCCCCAGTGTCATTTCTTAACCCCCAACTCTGCTCCTCCTTTGTTTCATCAAAGGCCCCACTACAGGCCCGGTGTGGGGACGTGCAGCCACAGGAGAGCATGTGATGGTACAGGGCATGTTGGGGAGACACCCAACCTGAAGGTACCTTCTCCACTGCCTGCCTACTCCACCACACTGGGAACTGCCCAAGGAAGAGGGTGAAGTAGGCGAGGGGCCAGCTGGGAACCAAAAAGCTACCCTCCACGATCCTTTGTGAGAGTTATCTTTTTGTGCCTTTATTCCCACCTCAAGTACTGGGCTGGATCAAAAGCTGAATTAGGGGAGAGTGGTGGCTGTCGAGATACCCCAGATGAGTAAGAACCTCCCTGCCTCGCCCTCTCTGCCTTGAATGCACTGGTTTGTAACTGCAGTAGCTTTTCCCAGTGCCACCTGACATTTCTTCTGGATTTGCTTCAGTGCCTTGCAGAGCGCTCCTTAAATTCTGCTCAATGCAGGGAGGAAGGCTGGGATGTGGGGGGTGGCGTATAGAGGGTGAGAGGGCAGCCCTGAAAGGGTGGATTATTTGAACATGGGCAGCCCTAAGATTCCCTCCAAGGA